ACCGTTTAGGAGGAGTATTGCGCACAAGAAAAGTGCTTAGCTTTTTAGTATATAAGATATGCTTTGAAAGAAACAGAATCAGGAGACAATATAAGTAGCAAGGCAATAGACACAGAGGACCCAATTGGACATATTATAAACTCTCCCCCATATGCTCACATCTGAGAGGAACAGTTACAAATTCATGCTGAAAATTAGGGAATAAAAATTTAATATTGATATGACCAAATATATAAATATACAAGACATGAATTTAGTAAAATTGCCCTGCATAAGTTTAACAATACTAAGTCTTGACGATTGAACTGATTCATTTTTCTACATATAACAGCGCTCCACCCCAGTGTATAACCCTTCTAGAATGTTGTTTGAAGGTGTTGGTTATTAAAAGGTGGTTCTCCACACAGATCGTACAAGTCTATCTCTTCTATTGTTTCTGGTACCGAGACTGTATGCTCCTATGCAGTCTCCTTTAGTATCATGACCAATTTTGGCGTTTAAGTCACCCATGATAATCGTTATCCTGCCTCTTTTTGTCAATCGCATTATTTTATCTATGTCATAAAATTTTTCTATTTCTTGAACTGTTCACTTGTTGGAACATAGACCTGAGTAATATTCAGGTTTCTATGGGTTGTTCGTAATTTCAACGTTGCGCAATTTTGTCCGATACTAATATAGCTGTTCCATATTGATATTCTAGGTGGGATCCTCCTGAATAATAGATGTATCCATTTTCTGTTTCTTGTTTTTCTGAACCAGGCTACCTTACTTTACTCATCCCCAAGATGTCTATTTTGGGTGTTTGAGAACACCAAAGTGTTATGTGTGGTCTCTATTACTATATGGCTGTGAGACCTGGACATTAAAACAGTATGACGTCAACAAATTAAATTCATTTAAATTGTGGGTGTACCGCCGAATGTTAAGAATAAGCTGGGCCAGCAGAATTACGAATGAAGAAGTACTGAGAGTAATGAACACACGCCTTCACAAGGTCAATATTATCAAAATTAGAAATACGTTATATCTAGGACACATAATGCGCAATAGGGAATTTAAGCAGCTCCAGGTAATATTAGAAGGCAAGTTTGAAGGTAAAAGGGGCATAGGACGAAAGAAAAAATCTTGGCTACGAAACATCAGAGATTGGACCCACACAAGAGGAAATGAATTAATTCATCAAGCCCAGAACAGAGAGAAATTTGTCATATTGATCGCCAACTTCAACAGAGAAGGCACTTAGGAGAAGGAGGAAGCCTAAATATAATGGGATGGTTATCTTATTGTCTTCTTCATCGCAGTAATACAACCATTTAAACTGCTCCAGTCATGCTTGTGGCAGTCTAGTTTCAATCCGATCCAGGATCATTTCCTCTGCACCTTGAGCTGATACTGATGATCGCTGCTGCCCTTCACCAGGGAAGGATAGGAAATAAGTAAGTATCAACAACTATTATTGAAGAAATTAATAGGAGATTGGAACGACACACGAGAATGGAAACTAGGAACCAGAAGGTGTAAGACGCTATGAAAACCGGATTTTGATACATCAAGTTTGTGTAGATGCTGAACATAGATAATATAGAAAGTAAAAAATATTAAAACAGAATCCTTAAAACTAACGTGATATCTAAAAATGATTTTAAGTATCTTGTTCCGTTTCTACTTCCATATGATGGATTTCCCTAAGATGGTTTGTCAAATATTCATCTCCAACAAAATTTTCTGAACAAATTTTACACTTCTTAGTTTCGTGTAACCTTTCATGTATACTCAAAGCGTAACTTGTAGCGAAACCTTTCTCACAAGTTTTACAAAAGAATTCCTTGGCTTCCTCTATCCCATGTTTCGATTTCAAATGAGATCGTAATGAAACTCTTTGTTTGAAACCTTCTGAACAATGTTGACAGACAAAAGGTTTCTCATTGGTATGTTTCCTTTTATGGGTATTTAAAGAACATCTAGATGAAAAGCCAGTACCACAATATTCACACACATACGGTCTCTGTTTTTCGTGCGTCCTTCGAACGTGTTTTAATAAAGCACCGTTGGTAAAGAAAAGTTTTCCACAAGTAGTGCATTTAAAATTCTTTAGACCCATATGAGCCTTTTTCTTATGCAAGAAGAATGTATATTTCATTCGAAAACCTTTACCACATTCTTCACAAACGTACTGTTCAGCATTATGTTTGTGATAATGAAATATGTGACCTCTTAAACTCTCAAAATTTTTGCACGTAGCTCCACATAAAGAACATTTCGATGGACCTGCTGTATGCATCCTCACATGTTTTCTCATATTGTCGGATCTAATTAAACGGCCGCAAATATCACATTTTCCTTTTTCGTGTTTTCTGTTGTGCCTAGTGAATGTACGTCTATCTAAAAGCAAAAGAAAACATAATAATGAAGAATGTTTTATAGCAATGCAAACATTGGAACATGCATCAATCACAATGTTTAAAATAAGAAACAAAGTTGGAAAAATTTGTTATTTTCGCATAGAGCCACGATACACTTATACCGGTATGCTAACGCGCAGAGAGCGAGTGACTCTTGAGTATATTATTCTCACGCTTTGACGTCACGGCGAAGCAACTTTAACATAATATTGGTTTGAGTTTAATTCTTAATATAATTTACATCAAATATTTAGTTTGTAATCTGTTGTGAATAAAAAAAGAAAACAAATATGTAAAATTATAAATTACAACCTCAAACAATATTACAGATATTAAAATTTTACAGAGTTAAGTTAAAAAATAGGAAAGTTACAGTTTTTTTCTCTTGCAGTTTTCAAAGCTAATTTTTTTATTAAGGTGTCTTAATCTAATATATGTACGTGTTCTGCTTAAACAATAGACTACTTTATACAGTATAGAATTATTTTCTTCTAATTTCGCCATGGTCCTAGCAGTTAAAGTTTTAAATAAATTGGGGTCATGTGATAATGAAGACCCATGCATTGAATGAAATTCTTGATCCAATATTTGTGCAGCAAAAAATAAGTCGTCATTAGGATTTAATAAACCACCTCTTGAAATAAATTGTATCCAACCCGGCATGCCAGTAATGCTTATGTTATCCGCTTTACATCCTAAATTATACTTATGTTGGAATTTATAGGCAACGTATCCAGCTGTATATTTTAAAGCATCTTGGTTAATTTTTTATCGTTAGAATAATCACTTACCGATAATTCAGGATACTGCGGTTCAATAAATGTATATGGCATTAACATTTCCTCTTCTTCTTTTTCTTGTACATTATTAGAATGTTGTCTTAGGCTTCCCAGTATATTTTGTGTAGGCAATTAATATTTTCCATTACATTATCTTCATGTTCGTCTAGTGGTTTTACCAAACAATCTTCTCCGTGTTCTTCAGTGTTTAAATTTTCTGTAATACAGCTGCTGAGTTTTTACCTAGTATGTACCACCTCAGTCGATATATGAAATCTAGGGGACGAGGATGGTCATTACTGGCCCCCATTCCCCTAACGTAACAGAAAAAGTTCTCAATTGCGTCCTCGTCCAGCCGTGATATTAAAATATAATTTTTTTATAATTACTTTATAATTGACACAAAGATAATCATATAATTGCTCCAAAGATCTATTTGTTAGCAATATACCCTTTTGGAATGGGATAACAGATGTGTGTTTTCCTACAGTTATAGTACCCATTATTCTTGATACTTGATCTGTCAATAATTGTTTCTGGTTTTCCAAATCTGTTCCAAAAGTATTTAATTATGATCGTGAATTAAGTAGGTCGAACCAATTATTTATTAATAATATAAATTTTGAAACCTTTTCCATTTTCCAAGGCACATTCATCGGCATTAAATCATTTTTACCACAATATTTAACTGCTTTAGAAACAAAGCGTGATAGTCATTGGACTGCTGGTATAACTTTTTGTTGCTGGAAACCTTTCAATTCAAAATTGTATATAGTAATTTTATGCGCTATTGGGAAATCCATTGTAGAAATTTCACTAAACAAGTTTTGTCAATCAATGTACCATCTAACCAAAACCCACTATCCAACAAATTATTCCTTAAAAGTTTCATAAGATGGGACATCAGCAAAAAAAAATATTTTTAACAAATCATTCCGTGGGTGCTTAATGAAATAATTCTTATAATAACTGATGTTCTAATTTGACCATAATAACATATTACCTGTGCCCATGTCTCTTACGATACCAACAACCACAAATACAGCATCGTAAAGCTTTGAAATTAGGTCTTGCAAAATATTTTTCGTCATTGGTATAACAAACTCATAAAAAACAGGTTGTTTCCAATAACGAGTTAACCCTCGTGCTATCACAGTTTGGCAAATTTTATGTTAACCTATATTATACATAACTATATTTCATCGAATGATATTATACATAATTTGTTGACTGTCTGTAAATCTAGTGACATCTTTTCCATCAACCCTGAACATGCTTATGCTCGTTGTGGCATCAGTACACTTTTATTGTTCATAAGAAATATGTAGCCCTACCTATACAAAGTTTTGTTCTTAATGTGAAACTATAGATGATGATGATAATGTCAATTTACAAGGTTTCACTGCAAATACATATCTACTTATATTGTATATATATTCTTTTAGAGAGTCTTTCGGTCCACGTGTTGTTATTGTTAGTAAATAACAAACATAGCTATAACATGTCCTCACTGTTCCGTTAATTATGGATGATCGTAACATTTTCTTGGCATAAGACTTTTAGAAATTAGAGGAACTAATTTTAGTTAGGAAGAAATAAACAATATGTACCTGGAATATGTAAATGAAAAAAAATTAGATAATCTGAACCTAACTGAAAAGCTCCAAATCAAAATTTTAGAACACAGTGAATTAGAATATGATAAGAAACAATTTCGCAGTGATCAATAAAATTGATAATAATGACAATAAAGACAAGGACACAACTAACGACTAATAAGGCTCTTAAAAAAGAAAAAATAAATTAAACCAATTACCTGAAAAATTTAAATTGCATGTTTCACATGTGAATGTAGTAACCTTAATATGCTTCTGAACTTTATAAAGTGTATGCTTTTCTTCATTATTTGTATTTAGTTTATCTAGTTCTGTTTCTACTGTAGTTACACTTTCATCATTTGAATCTTCATTGGAGTTCTCAACTACTTCTAACTTAGGTTGGATTTGATTTTGTTTTATTATTATTTCTTCTTTAGGAACTACCTCGTTAGTTTGTTTTGATACTGAAGCTTTAGCTTCATTAATAAAAGGAGTTATTCTTTGAAAAATTGCCCTCTTCTGTTTTAAAGCTGCTACTAGTAATTCATGTGCCTTTATAATGCGTTTTTTGATTATCAGAGCCGTCTTAACTTCTTCTATGCATTTTATACAACTATATTTTGGTAAACCATCTTCTTCATGTACCTTTAATATAAAATATTGTATGGATTCCTTAGTTTATGAAAAAAAGAAAATTTTAATTGAAAATTCTGGCAAGAAAACAAACTATTTATATGCATGTTAAGAAAGTAAAAGTGCAGAAACCACCCTGTTCTGACTAACAAACCATTTACATTTACAGGGAGATATATTGCATATATCTATTTAGATAAACAACACAACAGCTAAGTTGATACAGCTAACTAGTACATTAGAGACAAGCTTTAAGCTAGTACTATTCACATTCACTGATGTAAAGCTAAATAGTTCAAAGACTATAGCATTATACAGATTTTACACATTATACTAAAATCTTCATCAACACTTGTCACAAAACAGAGAAAAAGAAGTTTTAATCTAAATCAAAACAATATAATATATGCTTTGAAAGAAACAGAATCAGGAGACAATATAAGTAGCAAGGCAATAGACACAGAGGACCCAATTGGAGATATTATAAATTCTCATTATCATAAATTGGAGAGAATAAAAATTTAATATTGATATGACCAAATATATAAATATACAAGACATGAATTTAGGAAAATTGCCTAAATCAGAAAAATAGAATGAATCAGATAGATGGGGTTAATTCAATTTAATTTTAGATGACATGAAATAAAGACTAATTCTTTCAAAACAATTTACCTTTATTGATGTTAGTGTTTCTAACATTCTGGGAAAATCTCCACTAAATATCTTAACTCTACTTGGAGTTTTATTTAAACATAATCTGCATCGATATAGTGCCACAGATGTATTCATTTTGTTTAATCCTTTAAAACTTAAGATCGATTTTCTTCAAAAAACATGTTAATCACTATAACAGATATAAAAACAATACTTAATCTTGTAAAATACCAAAAAGTGCACTTGGAACTTGCATTACTTGCACTACAAAACAGGTTAAGTTTTCTTTCTGTCAGTCTGTTGATGCTGTCACAGATGCTGTTGCTGTTGTATGTGTACCAAGGTTGTGTACATCTATATTATCCATTGTTGCCACATTTAAACGATTGTAATATAAATAACAGAATGTCGACTATTTTTTCGTTAGAAAATAAAAAACCATTTCATAGTCATTCAAGGATTTTATTGTTAAATGGAGTAGCAGTGTACAAAATGATTGTTAATAAGTACAAAAAATAGATAGGGCTTGAAGTCCTAATACATTCTATTTCTTATATAAAAAATTAAGAACTGCCTTCTTCGTCCTTGGACAATTCAATTAAATATGTATTATGATGTTAGAGTAAAGTGGGACAAGTGCGCCCCCTTTTATTCATATTTAATTTTAATTGTATCAATGCTTCAATTGGGTTATTTCTGCCAAATCAATAATACGTGCACTAAGTACTTTGACAATGATCTTTATTTAGAGAAGATTCCAAATCTGTGGCTTTTCGCGATTATTAATTATAATTTTTTTTCTCTTACATATCGCAGTAACGCACTTGCCCCGTCAGTTTGGGGCAAGTGCGTCTCCGGGGCATAGTTTTATATATTTTCCTTGCGTTGAATTACGGGGCAAGTGCGCTTATTTATTAGCTGCCACTTTACGAGTTCTTCGTCCCACATTGATTTTAAAGCTTTGAACACCGCTAAATCCAATGGCTGGAGAATGTGACTTGTGTGAGCCGGTAGTTTGAGGATGGTGATTCCTTCCGATCTCGCGTAATTGACCAAATGTGCAGTGAGGTGCGTTGAATGTCCGTCGTAGATAACTAGTATAGGCCGATCAGGACCAATGTTTTTTACAAAAGTAGGCTCAAAATAGTTTCGAAATACAATAGCTTCAATCCCGCCGTTTTTAGTAGTGACATAGGCAGTACCAGGGAAGGCATCATGTTCGTCGGCCATCCATTCATCCCAGATATTTTTGCCTTTAAAAACAATTAATAGAGGAATTTTTTCGCCAGTAGCGCTTGCTGCCATCACCACTGTAGTGTTCTCTCTTCCCGGTCCACTGGTGGTTCTTGTGCATGGTGCTCCTTGCTTCCCAACAACTTTTGTTTTAGAGGGGTCACTCTAAAATCCAGTTTCATCTATATTGTCGATTCTCTCAGGTTTGTCAGCAAGCCCCAAAGATTGAATGGTTTCGCTCAATAATTTAAAATAATCTTTTAACATAATAAACAACAAAAGGATTCATGGCTTTCTTTCTTGCAAACTCAACTATTTCCGGTTTCTTTATTGACAGCCGATGTCTTCTTTTAAAATTGAAGAACCAGTCTTCACCTGGTCTACCATCTTTAAATTGAGTTTTCAAGTTGTTTGATTGAACGAATTGTTGGGTTAATTCTAAAACTTCTTTACGGGACAAACCGAATCCCCATTGCTCCATCGTGCGAAGACCTTCTGCCAGTCGCCTTTCTTCTGCCAATGGAATGTCGGTAGGTCGACCTTGTCCTGATACCTTCGCGCCTCTTCTTCCACTCAAGTGATCCCGTAAAGTTGTCACAGGAATATTGTATGCGCGCGATGCTCCCTTGACAGTGAAATTCTGATTTCTTATATCCGTTAAGGCATTATTAAGCACTTCTGCTGTATATTGCGAACCTCTCTCCGTCTTTCGGACCATCTCTACTTAAGAATTAAAAAATTGTATTCAAATTTTATGCCGGGGCAAGTGTGTTAAGGTAAGGACGCACTTGCCCCCACACAAAAAACGCACTTGCCCCATGTGATAAATCTTTGGGGCAAGTGCGCACCTTTTAATTACTAGCAAACTATAGCGAAAAATCATAAATGGTATCAAAACAATTCAATTTTCTGCATTATTAATCAAAAATATTCAATAAAAATTAAAATCTAGTAAACGGTACGAGATTAACAAGACTTAGAATAAACACTTACCTGCTCTTTGTATAACCTCAAACGTAACTACCAACAAACACGTGTGATACTATGTCGTGAATTCAACGACGTTGCCACTCATATGTGTAGCTGTTTCGTTTAATATTTGGCGCTAAATTTGAAATCGGTTTCATACCCAACTTCACGTTACAAATATTTTTATTTAGTCCAAACGCACTTACCCCGGGTACGCACTTGCCCCACCCTACCCTATGTTCTTTACAGACCGACTGATTACAAGTTAGTCGTACATTTTATTGCTCCCTTATTTCTATTCACCTAGCGGACACTCGCGCACTTAACTTTAAAAAATCCTTTACTTATTGTCTTACTAAAGAATAGACGCATATGCGTCTATATTCTTTGGTCTTCATCTTTGGATATAACAATGTATCATTCTAACTTAAAGATCAATACTAAGATCGTGGCTGCAAAGGACGTTTTTTATTTGAAAAAGACAGCAAATATTTGATTTCACGCAAACAGCGCCTTTGTATCTGTTGATACGTATTTCGACCTAATAGGTCTCATCAGAACAGTTATTCAAAGGTGTTCTCAACGTGAAAGATCAATATTTTCTGTCTTTTAAGAAGCAACAATAACATGGCTTCGAATACGGACGCACTAGCGACATCTAATTTAACAATCGTAAAATAGCTTCGAAACACAATTCAGATTTCTGCTTTTATCTGTGCTTTCTAAAAATTGCAAAGCAAAACAGATGTTGATAAAGGTGTTAAAAGAGACGTGGGGAATCTAAAATTTGCATTCCACGACACATCTTTTCAACTAAGCAGAAATCCTTAGCGAATTGGTTTCTTGTACTCGTACAGAGTAAATCCGAAAAAAGTGAAAAAGACAGCAAATATTTGATTTCACGCAAACAGCGCCTTTGTATCTGTTGATACGTATTTCGACCTAATAGGTCTCATCAGAACAGTTATTCAAAGGTGTTCTCAACGTGAAAGATCAATATTTTCTGTCTTTTAAGAAGCAACAATAACATGGCTTCGAATACGGACGCACTAGCGACATCTAATTTAACAATCGTAAAATAGTTTCGAAACACAATTCAGATTTCTGCTTTTATCTGTGCTTTCTAAAAATTGCAAAGCAAAACAGACGTTGATAAAGGTGTTAAAAGAGACGTGGGGAATCTAAAATTTGCATTCCACGACACATCTTTTCAACTAAGCAGAAATCCTTAGCGAATTGGTTTCTTGTACTCGTACAGAGTAAATCCGAAAAAAGTGAAAAAGACAGCAAATATTTGATTTCACGCAAACAGCGCCTTTGTATCTGTTGATACGTATTTCGACCTAATAGGTCTCATCAGAACAGTTATTCAAAGGTGTTCTCAACGTGAAAGATCAATATTTTCTGTCTTTTAAGAAGCAACAATAACATGGCTTCGAATACGGACGCACTAGCGACATCTAATTTAACAATCGTAAAATAGTTTCGAAACACAATTCAGATTTCTGCTTTTATCTGTGCTTTCTAAAAATTGCAAAGCAAAACAGACGTTGATAAAGGTGTTAAAAGAGACGTGGGGAATCTAAAATTTGCATTCCACGACACATCTTTTCAACTAAGCAGAAATCCTTAGCGAATTGGTTTCTTGTACTCGTACAGAGTAAATCCGAAAAAAGTGAAAAAGACAGCAAATATTTGATTTCACGCAAACAGCGCCTTTGTATCTGTTGATACGTATTTCGACCTAATAGGTCTCATCAGAACAGTTATTCAAAGGTGTTCTCAACGTGAAAGATCAATATTTTCTGTCTTTTAAGAAGCAACAATAACATGGCTTCGAATACGGACGCACTAGCGACATCTAATTTAACAATCGTAAAATAGTTTCGAAACACAATTCAGATTTCTGCTTTTATCTGTGCTTTCTAAAAATTGCAAAGCAAAACAGACGTTGATAAAGGTGTTAAAAGAGACGTGGGGAATCTAAAATTTGCATTCCACGACACATCTTTTCAACTAAGCAGAAATCCTTAGCGAATTGGTTTCTTGTACTCGTACAGAGTAAATCCGAAAAAAGTGAAAAAGACAGCAAATATTTGATTTCACGCAAACAGCGCCTTTGTATCTGTTGATACGTATTTCGACCTAATAGGTCTCATCAGAACAGTTATTCAAAGGTGTTCTCAACGTGAAAGATCAATATTTTCTGTCTTTTAAGAAGCAACAATAACATGGCTTCGAATACGGACGCACTAGCGACATCTAATTTAACAATCGTAAAATAGTTTCGAAACACAATTCAGATTTCTGCTTTTATCTGTGCTTTCTAAAAATTGCAAAGCAAAACAGACGTTGATAAAGGTGTTAAAAGAGACGTGGGGAATCTAAAATTTGCATTCCACGACACATCTTTTCAACTAAGCAGAAATCCTTAGCGAATTGGTTTCTTGTACTCGTACAGAGTAAATCCGAAAAAAGTGAAAAAAACAGCAAATATTTGATTTCACGCAAACAGCGCCTTTGTATCTGTTGATACGTATTTCGACCTAATAGGTCTCATCAGAACAGTTATTCAAAGGTGTTCTCAACGTGAAAGATCAATATTTTCTGTCTTTTAAGAAGCAACAATAACATGGCTTCGAATACGGACGCACTACGGACGTTTTTTATTTTTACAAATGTAGTTTGGGCTCGTTCTATTCGGCTTTTCATTTCAAGGTTGGATACCAGCTCTATTGATATTACTGCCAAAATACAGTTTCTGCATCAGAATACGGCTTAAGTAAAAAAAACAAAACATTCATCCAAATTTTATTTTAATTTACTAGAATTAAAACTATTTACACTTTTTATTATCTTTTACTTATAACTAATTTTATAACATTATAAATTTTAATACAAACATGTTTTTTGGTTTTCCAATCCGTCTGCGATTAAGATCAATAGAAAAATCGTATGTGTAACTATACATTAAAGATGTATAAGCCTTTTATCAAAAATGTTCAGCCCCAAAAATTATCAAAGCGCACAAAGTAACATGCATTATTTGTAAAAACGCCGAGGAAACGCACATACATATAGTCTACAAGTGCAGATAATTCACCAACGCCATAAAACGGAACGGGTTTTTTGGTACTTTTATTTCTAATATGATTCATTTCCCCGAATATCCCAACTTTCCCCGTGTCAGGCAAAAAATATTGTCTAAGCAATGTCCCAAAAAGTTGGCGAACTCTGGGTGATTATAGCCTTGGCACAGTAACATTGACTAATAACATTTTGTCTCAAGTCGTAAAAATAGTGTGACTGATCTATAAATAAAAATGTAGAGGGAGGGTGCAGGGGCACGACCAAAAGCGAACCTTCTGGAAAATAGGGTAGCTTTCGCAGAACTTACGGGATGGTTCAATGTCGCCTTGATTATACCAGGACAAATAAAAGATTAATCAGGTGAATTAGTTAAGCCCCGAATACATGTACAATGGATAATGAAAATGCGCAATAAGCCAATTGGATGGAGTAGGACCGGTGAAGAGCTGACCACTTTCCGATAAAGCAAAAATTCTGTGGAAATTTTTTCAATAGAAAATATTTCTGAAATTAGATTAGTCTAATTTGCTTGCTGTATTAAAAAAAAAACTCCAAAAAACCATTTGTATTCCAAATTTTTGTACCGGGTGGTCCAATAAGCCGATCTCTCGGCTATATATCAGAAACTATTCATGTTATAACTTTAGGAGAGAAAATTCCTTAGTAAAAGTGGCCAAGAGAAATCGCTGGAAATAACTTTCAAGTTTCTGGGTTAATCGCTAGGGGGCAAAACCTGTGAAGAAAACTTTGAAGACCAGTTTTTTGGGAAATATGCCCAATTATACCAATAGTTAAATAAGTAAACTAAAAAGAGGCCTAAATTCTGCACAAAGTTTTTAGGTATACTTTTTTTTATTTTTTTAAATAAAGGGTGGGGCAGAGTGGGAAAGTATTTGTGGATAAATACCTATAACTTTGGTTTGGATCAACCGATTTTAACGAAATTAGTGTCATTAGAAATAGTGTGGATAAATTAATTTATATCTACTATAAAATAATTGAATTTAGTTTTAATTTTCATAGGTACTTTCGAATAGAAAAAATTAAAATTTGTTTTTCTTTAAAATGTCTAATGGAAACACCTATTTATTGTAAATTATAATGGAACTGGATTACCACATGTCAATAGCTTTTGTCGAACTCGAGATATGAATAAAAACGCATAAACATAGGTAAGTATAGTATTGACTCACCCTGTATTATAAATTAAATTAAAAAATAAGTCAGTAGGTACTTTCAAATTTTTTATAGGAGAATAATCTTAATGTTGATACCTTTTTACAATTTTACAATTACTTGACACAATTGTATACCAATTTGTGGGTCTTACCTTGTCTGCTTAAACATGTTATTCATTTTGAAAAACCACAGACATGTAATATTGGCATAATTACTGTAATTTATATCATCTATCTTTGTTTATCTTTATAAGACAACACCCTAATATGGGTTTTATTATTTCAGCATTTAATTACCTTAGTATCGAGACCTGAAGATGCTTTGCATATTGTAGAAAACGAAACCGGTCGTCTAAATAGTTAAATTAAACTGATTGTGAGTAAGTCTTATTTATTATTTCTTTTACCTATCTAACATTTTTGTTCAAAATTATCTCATCAGCTACAAGTTTTGGTTAAAACATTTTGTTCTACACTGTACACATTCTTGGTAAATCGGTGTTTTCCGTTCACCCCCTCTCCCGCGGTGGGTTTTAGGGGAAGCTCAGGGCTAGAGAGAGGCTTTTTAGTGGCAAAAATTTTTGCATCTTTTTTGATGTCCCAATATTGACATTCTCAGCAAAATTCAGCTCGTTCGTATGATTTTTAGAGTTTTAGAAGTTATTCTAGCGCACATAAATGTCAACAATTACATGACTACATTTTCAAAGCTATATACATATCGTAACAAATGACTTTAAGTATCTTGTGCAACCTCTACTTCTATATGATGGACATCTCTAAGATGGTTTGTCAGATATTCATCTCCAGCAAAATTTTCTGAGCAAACTTCACACTTCTGAGTTTCGTGTAATCTTTCATGTATACTCAAAGCATAATTTGTAGCGAAGCCTTTCTCGCACGTTTTACAAAAGAATTCCTTGGCTTCCTCTATCCCATGTTTTGATTTCAAATGGGATCGTAACGAAACCCGTTGTCTAAAACCTTCTAAACAGTAATCACAAACGAACGGTTTTTCATTGGTATGTTGTCTTTTATGAGTTTTTAAGGCATAAGTAGACGAAAAGCCAGTACCACAATATTCACACACATGAGGTCTCAATTTTTCATGAGTCATTCGGACATGTGTGAGTAAATTGCCGTTGGTAAAGAACGCTTTTCCACATGTAGTACATTTAAAGTTTCTTAGACCCATATGTGCTTTTTTCTTATGCAACAAAAACTTATATTTGACTCGGAAAGTTTTACCGCATTCTTCACAAATGTATTGTTCAGCTTTACTTCTGTGTTGATAAAAGATATGACCTCTTAAACTTTCTATATTTTTGCACGTTGCTCCACAAATAGAACATTTTGACGGACTTGCTGTATGCAACATGATGTGCTTTTTTATGTTGTCTGATCTAATGAATCGGCCGCATATATGGCATTTGCTTTTTTTGTGTTTTAAGCTGTGAAGATGGAATGTCGGTTTGTCTAAAAATCAAAAAACATATATTATAGTAAAATAATTAGAATTACACGTCCAGATTCAATGGCATGACTAGTCATAAAATCTATGACGACATATGAGAGCTTTTTTACAAAACTGCATAAATCCGTTTCCGGCTAAAATTCATTTTTTGTTGAATTTCGAGAGTTTGGTCTGAAGTCCAATGACTGAACTTCGTATTCACAAGCTGAGAGCAGATGCGTTTTACAAACTAATGAAGGAAGTTCCCAGTGATACTTATAGTTTTGTTTTTGATTTGCAACAAGTGCACCCACTACCTAAAACTCCAATCGGCGATGCCTTTTATGGCCCACAAATTGCATTCTATGCATTTTGCTGTGTGCCTATTGACTCAAAAGGCATCAAAATTTTATACGTGGAATGAAACGGAGTGAGGAAGCAGAGTAGCAAATGAAATCGAATCTGCACTCATCCATCACTAAAAGACGCGAAGATCTTTCGTCTTTCTGCAGTATCGTTGTTTTCTGATTGTTGCGCTGGCCAAAATAAAAATGCTCATATTTTTCATGTTTTGTGCCATTGGATGAAAAATGAGGCTACATAGAATGTCAAGAAAATTCATGTAATCTTTCCGTTTGTGTTTTCTTCCGACACAGTTTTCTTTCAGCTGATCGAGCTTTTGGCCGTGTGGAGAAGCGCTTGAAAAAAACTGATACCATCATCTCGAGCGAAGAGTATGCTTCTATTTACGAGGAGTTTGCCTCTGTACAGAAACTGGGACAAGACTGAGTGATATACGATATCAAAAAAAGCATTGAAATAATTTATCAAAAAATAAAAGGAATCAGCCAAACCAAACGCCTCATTATTAAGAAAATCAAAACAAGAGACCGGCATACTTCAACTAAAATAAAATGCTGCGCCAACTAACGATTTGATATTATAACAGAAACTTTTAGAAGCATTGTAAAAAAAATAAAAATAATTTTCTTCAGGCTTTGCCCCAAATCCCAATATCTCATCACTTTGGACAAAATTGGAAAGAGATCCCTGATCTTCATTGGTATATTAATGCTCTTCAACACAAAGTTACTAGTGAACCAGATCCAGAAACCCACAACTACCATGATGGCGAGTGTGATTGCTTGGAGGATGAGCCAAAAAATGTTCACATCTAAATTTTATGTACTCCGCATTTTTTTGTTTGTTTTAATGGGTACCGTTTAATATTTTTTATTTCTAAGATATTGTTAGTCTGACAAAAGGTAATATCTCCCATCTTTTTTTACAAAACGCGATATCTCCAACAGACACATGGCTATATTTTGTTAATGCAAATCAATAAAAATAATGTTAATTAACGTTTTATTTCTCTAAATCTAATCTCAATTGATTACTTTCTCTGAAATTTCGAAAATTTTAGTACAACAGCTGCAGCACGTTTTTACGTCTCCTGAAAATTTTTGAAAAGTGGATTTATGCAGTTTTGTAAAAAAGCTCCTCTTATGTTATGATTATGATCCTTGCTAATTACCATCCGTTTTTGTTTTTTTAACATTTAACTTTTAAACAAATTCGACGTTCTGACTCCCACAATACGTAACAATGACTTCATAACTTAAATTGTTAATTGAAACTGGATTATATAGAATTGCGAATACGCCTTTTATCACTCCCTCCCTTTTATCGCACGCTTGTAGAAGTGTGATATTGATAACTGATGTAGAATAGCTTTTGTAATTGCTCTTATTATTGTTAGTATTATTGATACTCAAAGAGCTTTATAAAACCAGTTTTACATCTAAAATTAATGTAAGTATACAGTTCAAAATTTTTTAAATTCAGCAAAAAATACAACGATATCCCCACTCTTCTTTTATTTATTTCAAAAATAAAAAACCTAAAAATATTATTATAACTTTTTTAAAACTTGTCATGTTCAGCATTATGCACAACCGATTTGAGGGCATGGTCATCTCAGGTGGATGTGATGTGAACTGATCAATCAAACCGTGCTATTTGAGTTCTCTAAACTCTTTCTTGTGGGTCACGTATCTATGCAAATAAGACTCAAACCACAGCGACCTCAAAGCCAACATAACCGATGCCATTGGTCAAATTTAGTCTGATTATGCACAACCGATTTGAGGGCATGGTCATCTCAGGTGGAGGTGATGTGAACTGATCAACCAAATCGTGCTATTTGAGTTCGCTAGACTCTTTCTTGTGGGTCACGTATCTATGCAAATAGGACTCAAACCACAGCGACCTCAAAGCCAACATAACCGATGCCATTGGTCAAATTTAGTCTGATTTTTGCGACATTGTAATGTAAATTGATCATTTCAGATGGGTGCCACCAAGCATACAGACTGTAACGAATGGAAATGTTTGCTGAGGGAGGCCAGGGATCCAAGTGGGCTGTAGTGCGATAGGATGGATGGATAATATGATATATGTTTGTTCCGGGTGAGAATTGTTATGAATATAAAAATAACAGTTTTTGTATATGTATATTTTGTAATAACGACAAAGTTTTGTATGTTCGAAGTTTACCATGCGACGACATCTTTGCTCAAAACGCAGTGACATTGCAACGCCAACCCATCTCTTTTTATGCCAGATACGGGTACAATCTACAATGACCTTAAATGCCATGAAACAAGTGACGCGTTAGGACAGGAAAGAATACTACCTCTTCGCGAAAATTTCCAGCATGGAATTAGCATTTTATCTTGTAGAAAAGTTCGAATTATCCAAAATATAATTCGAATTATTCACGACTGTTTACCATTACTTATATAGGAAATGCTAGGGACCAGAATAAAAATTCGAATTAAAAAATACTTCAAATTAGAGAAGTTTGAATTAAGCAGATTCCACTTTATATATATATATATATATATATATATATATATATATATATATAAACAAACAACAAAGTTTATTAGGGCTGCAGTCAGAAGTTTGGTCGGGATGTTACAGAAACACTCTTTTAACTTTTGGTCTAGCTTTCGGAATTGTTTAATTCCTTTTTCAAGACACTAATTAGCAAAATGTGTAAATACTTACAATATGTCACAAAATGTCAGTGTAACTTACTAGTCATTGAGATTATTTGTATAAAGCTATGACACTCAACATTAATAACACACATATAAAATAGAACATATAAAATAATGGACAAAATCCATTTTAAAATTTAGTTAAAGATAGTAAAAATTCGTATGTGACTTTAATGGTGTGTTTTGACTGATCCATAGAGAATAGAAAGAAAAAAAAAAACAAAACTAGTATGATTAAAAATTAATTAGGTGTTCTTCATATTTTATATTAATAGAAAGTAATGTATTAAACCTGTGTTGATGGTATGCAACCTGTTTTGCTTGCAGGTGTATTGTGGTGTATATATTTACAAGTAAGTCTTTATTTCATTTTTGATGTTTTGTCAGTAAATAACAATAAATGTTGCTCAGTTTATCTATATCAGACTTTTTATTTATACAAGACGTATTGGATTTTATGAAACACATTTCCAAGAAAACACGTTTAGAATGGTTTTTTCCCTTGCCAAAATACAGGAATCCTCGAAATTAAATTCATGTTTTAAACTTAATGCATGTTCTGTCAACGCGAATGCGTTAATTTTCTTGGTTTTTATGTCGCTGCGCTGTGAGATCACCCTACTGTGAAAATTACAAGACGATTCACCAATATACACATTTTTACAATTAGCACATAATCCCACTTTAAACATCCAAACTTTCATGTACAACATTTAAAGATACAGGAAATGATGATATATATGTTAAAATTAAAGCTCATAAAAAAGTAAAAAATAAAAATAAATGATTACCTGAAAAGGTTAAATTACATGTTTCACAAGTAAAGCCAGCGCTCTCGAAGTGTTTCTGGACTTCATCAAGTATCTCTTGTAGTGATTCCTTTTCTTTATGTATGTTTTGTTGATCTGTTTTTTCTACTCCTTCAGTACTTATTTCATGTTTTACACTTCCTTCATTTGCATCTTCATTAGCTGTTGCTTCTTTTGAGCTCTCAAATAATTGTGACTTAGATCGGATTTTAATTTGATTTTGTTTTATTATTGGTTTAGATTTTTTTACAACTACCTTTTGTTTAGTGACTTTTGTCTTTTTTGGTACTGAAGAATCAACTTTATTAACAATAGGGGTTATCACTATTTTTTGAAATATTGCCCTTTTCTTTTTTAGAGCTTCTAATAACAATTGATGTGCCTTTATAATTCGTTTCTTAACCATCAAAGCCATCTGAACTTCTTTTGCACATTTTGTACAACTATATTTTGGTAAGCCATCCTCTTCATGTACCTTTAACATAAAATACCATATGAAACACTTATAATGAAAAAAAAAAGAAGTTTTATTAGAAATCTACATATACTAGAGAATTATCAGTAGAAAATGACTTGGTAATTTGGAATCAATTTTTTTGCAATAAAAAGTAGTACTCATCTCTATTGGACACAAAAAGTGACCTCTCAGAAGGGAATGGACATTTGTTGAAAAATGTTTAAATAGCAGAGTTATTTAGAATTTCAAACTACTAACTTAACCCTTTTGTTTTTCTGTTGCGGGCCAAGGCCTAAACTATTGGCAACAAAAGCATTTAGACAATGAAGAATAATCCGATATCTCTGATCAATTGATATTCAAATATCTATTTATTAAAACTGAGTATGCGGAACATTCCATATAAATTATATAACCATAATAGAATTTATATAGAATCAAACATTTATTGTCTTTATTGACTATTTTATTATGTTTGCTTTATTAAAATATGTTTGCAAGATGATGGGAATTTCAGAGCATATTTAGTCTACTTCAGAAAGCTCCCTTATCAGTGATATCAAAAAATTCTAAATTTTCCCTAGCTTAATTACACCTTACTTACTGCTAACACCACTAGATAAACACAAATTAGTCCAAATAGGGTTAAAGGTGTAGAGAAATCCAATGAATGTGTTGGGATTAATTTTTTTAACTTGGTTATTAAGTAAATAAAGAATAAAATTATATTTCGTTAAAAAAATTACCTTTATGGAAGTTAATACGTCTAGCATTCGGGGAAAGTCTCCACCAAAGATGTTTACTCTACTTGGAGTTTTATTTAAACATAATCTGCATTGATACAATGCCACGGGTGTAGTCATTGTGCTTATGTGCTTAAAAATCTAATTCGATTTTCTTCATAAAAACTTATTGTCTTAATATGTACTAAAAAGGAGAAATATTTTTATTTACATTTTAAACCTTGATTTATAAAATATGTAAGTTTTTTAGGTTATGGCAATGACAATAAAACGTCATTGACAATAGAAAAGATTATTTGACATCATCACATAAAACAATTTTAAAGAGCTATATGGGAGCAACCACTCTCACATGGAAAAGTGCTTCTACCATTTCCACTATAACTTTAAATTTAAGATATTTTTGTGAAAATATCTCTTAAATTTTTAACCAGAGTTGCGCCAAATGTAGGCAACTTACAGTTCCTCGTTACAGTGTTGTCAGAGTTTCAAGATTTTCTTAAATGTATAAAACTCAATTTGGTGCATATTTCTCTGCAGAAATGACACCGGACAATGGTCTTAACAGTTCTCAATTTGGCTTTATTCGTAATTACATTCTACCCAAAAATAACTGTTATTGTTATTACCTATTACATGACAAAAATGAGCTGGTTATAGTTATGCCTTATAACTACGTAGTTATATAAAATATTCTAAATGATTCACCCTGTTAATGATATGATTTGGTCATGGAGTGAAATTTACATGTTTACACTGTGTGATTTATCCTAAACTGATAAATATTGTCATGCGACTCTTCATAGGATAACTCGATGTCACAGGATAATATACTGGTAACACCAACATATTTAAATATCGCGCCTTATTCGTATGTATATTCGGTGAATTCCCTTCCCCAGAGACAACATCCTTTATTTATTTTTTGTTTGTTGCTTTGATATTGAGACTATTGTCTTCTCTGTGCTATTGTGTCGTATTTTTCATTTATTATTTATATAGTTTTATATTTTAATTTAGTATAATATAATATTAACACTAAATTTGATATACCCCGTCTACTATCTCTTCCTAAGAGCAGAAACCAAAGGCATCCGATCTGTTTCTTCCTAATATTAGCTGTACACAGTTGTTGCCGGCATTTATTATTAAAAGTCAGGAAGTTAATAAAGCAAAGATTTCTTTTCCATTATGATGTTTACAAATCTAATAGTTGTTACCTATACTATGTCTAATATCTATATGGCCATAATCAAGAAGAAAAATCATATCTCTTCCTAAGAGCAGAAACCAAAGGCATCCGATCTGTTTCTTCTTAATATTAGCTGTATGCAGTTGTTGCCGGAGTATTATTATTAAAAGTCAGAAAGCAAAGGTTCCTTTTCCATTATGATGTTTATAAATGTAATAGTTGTTACCTATAGTATGTCTAATATCTATATGACCATTATCAAAAAGAAAAATCAATATAACCTCATTGTCACTCATATCATATCATAAGTCACAACACTCATTCAGTGTACACATGATTTTTTAAAACATCATAGAAACGAGGAATCATAACTAATCTCATATGATAAATCATGTAGTGTACTGCACTGTCCGTTGCAAGATAATTCGGATGGAGTTCTCCAGATTAAGAAATTGGGCAGATATCAAGCACAAAATGACTGCTCGGTAACTACAGTGAGGTGGGACAGTCAGCATTTATATATTAATTTCTCTTGCTTTCAACACACCTTCAAGTTGCTTATGGCTAATGGGCCCGTTCAAGATCAGTAAAACTGGCTTTTTCTTGCTGGGCTTCGAATGCTCTATAAAATGATCTAAATATTTAAAAAAATTCTCATTATCTATCCAACCACATAAGCAAAACCCGACAGCTGCTGGGTTTTGGGAAGGCGCAACTCTTAATAATGATGGAACTAAACTCTTTCGAGGAAACAGAAAAAGGAAGCAATGTACTTTCCAGTACCTTTCTACTTGTTTTTGTCCCTTCTTTGCCAATATTTTAGTAAGTTTCGGTACAGTGCTTATACCTGTTTCATCATAATTGTAAATGTTTTCTGAACTAAAATTGTAACGATTTGAAACTGTTTTTAAATGATCAAACAAATTGTGACTTGTTCTTTAGTGAAACCCAAGGCTCTTTTAAGACTTGTGGCTTCAGGCATTCGAATAGACAGTTCAGGATTTCTTTTTTAAAAACCTTATAGCCAATCTTCTCCAGCATTTTTTTTTAGTTTTATTGAATGAATGCTTAATTTTTAGCCTTTCTGCACGTTCATATGTTATGCGTCATATACTATAACATATAATGGAGTAAGACCATAAAAGCTTGGCTGCATCTCTAACAAATGTGTTACTAGTAACTGTTCACTGGAACCAGAAAAAACAGGATTGTATTTGCCAAGCAAGGGCGCAGGAATGTTTGCTTCATTCGTCTAAGTAAACAAGTTTTCGGTATTTTAAATCTTCTACCAGCTTCTCTGATACTTTCTCTGTTGCGTATTGTCTTAATAGCGGCTTCTGCATCCTCTTGCCTCCAATCAGGTACATCACGTTTTCTCTTGTAAAACTCTCTGAAAAATAAATTAATAAAATCATTAAACTTCTGACAACATGATAATGGGGACTTCTACGCAGTAATGGGGACCACTACGGGGTACCAGGGACCGTGGTCCTGTCTGCCCATGTGTCAATGGTGCACATTACCCCAAATGTAACGAAAGTCACTTATATTACTCAGTCAAAATGCATGCGATGACAAAAATTTAATTTAGTTTTGTTAGTTAGTCAATGTAAAATATCATTGTACACTCAGATTTTCTCAATATTCTAGAAGCTTTTTTACAACATATAATTTCTAACAACTTAACGTGAAAACTCGATTTTATTGTTCAATCGCACAACAACAAACAACAAGCATCTGTCGTCGATATAGAACTGAATGCGGTTCTTGCCAACCTATTAATGTCAAACCGTAATGATGCTGGTCCTATTTACCCCGATGGTCCTCGTTGCCCCGGTCTCCACTATTTAGAAATGGAAAGTTTTTAATAAAAATTATAAATGAATATACACTACCATTATTCGTTTTTTTTTTTTTCAATAAAAAAAGACTATTTGATGTCAAAAATGATGAATCTGTCAAAATACTTCCAAGCTAAGAGAACGGATTGTATATCAAATAACATTTATAAATACTGTAACGTGATTTTACATTCTAATAATTTATTAATAATTTTACAAATATTTTATTTAATCTTTACTTTATTTACACTAATACTAAAACATAATTAATTTATATAATATATATTTATTACTTAATACATATACAAAGAAGTCTTTCAAACTTTACAATACGAATTTATAACTCAGACTGAATTCTCACAATCAATTTCAAGTATTTATATTGTCTGACGCTGGTTCGATAATTCGCTGGAAGCTTCTCAAGGCGAAGGAAATGTCTGGCGCCGTTTGCCTAGAATCCGTCCACTAACACCTGCAATATCCCGAACGCCGAATCATCTGGAATATTCGATGGACAAGACCAGCATTACAGTATTATAAAACTGTATTTGTTGTAAATATATCATTACTTATGTCAAACTCGTAGAGATAAGGCACATACGAATAAATACAAGAAAATTTAGGAGATGCTGGACATAACAAACCAAGAATAATTTTAACTATCCTGTTTCGTCTCTGCTTCTACTTGATGAACTTCTCTAAGATGGTTTGTTAGATATTCATCTACAGCAAAACTTTCTGAACAAATTTCACACTTCTTAGTTTCGTGTAACCTTTCATGTATACTTAACGCGTAACTTGTAGCAAAACCTTTCTCACAAGTTTTACAAAAGAATTCCTTGGCTTCCTCTATCCCATGTTTCGATTTCAAATGAGATCGTAGTGAAACTCTTTGTTTGAAACCTTCTGAACAATAGTAGCAGACGAACGGTTTCTCATTAGTGTGTTGTCTTCTATGAGTTTTTAAAGCATACTTAGACGAAAAGCCAGTACTACAATACTCACAAACATAGGGTCTCAGTTTTTCGTGAGTCATTCGAACATGTTTTATTAAAGTAGTATTGGTAAAGAAAGCTTTTCCACAAGTACTGCATTTAAAGTTCCTTAGACCCATATGAACCTTTTTTTTATGCAACAAGAAACTATGTTTTCTTCGAAAACCTTTACCACATTCTTCACAAATGTACTGTTGAGCAGTATGCTTATGGTAATGAAAGATGTGACATCTTAAACAGTTAAAATTTTTGAAAGTGGCTCCACAAATAGAACAAACTGATGGACCTGCTGTATGCAACGTGATGTGTTTCTTTATATTGTCTGTTCTAATAAATCGGTCGCAAATATGACACTGGCTTTTTTTGTGTTTTAAGCTATGCAAATTGAATGCCGGTTTATCTAAAAACCAAAAAACATATATTATAGTAAAATATTAGAAAGGCACGTCACATATTCAATGACGTACTCAGTCATAGAATCTATGATGACATGTGCTATGATTATGATTCTTGCTATCATTCATTTTTAACTTTTAACATTTAATTTTCAACCAGCGAAATGAAGCGAAATCTGTGTTATGGACAAAAATCAGGAAAATGTGCTCAATATCTGGGAGAAGAGTGTTTTAAGGAACATTTTCAGTGTAGATAGACATGGAGAAAACTTTTGAGAAAGCGAACCAATGCAGAAATCATTGAGCTGTAAGGAAAACAAGAAATTAACAGGATCGTTAGATCAAAAACGGTTACATCACTGGGCCACTTGGCAAGAATGTGAGATGATCAAAGGACTCCCTGCTATCGTGACAAATTACTTGGGGGAAGTAGGAATTAATACTCTTGAATGGCTAGCCTGCAGCCCTGATCTGAATAGCATCGAACATCTTTGGGATGAACTTCATCATAGGGTTCGAAGTCAACCAGGCCAGCCAGAAAGTCTTGCAGAACTTCAAAACATGCTTCGTGAAGAATATAAACGTATTCCTCAAATTTTTATTCAAAATTTGTTCCTTTCCCTTCCAAATCGTATGCAAACGATTATTGATGTTTTTGGGTATAATACCCAATATTAGACCATTTTGTTCAAGTTCA